AAAAATTGGCGGAAAGGACAAAGTCTGTTGGAAAAAAATGGTTTGTTTTTAATTTCATACTTTTTTATCTGTAATTATTTACTTAATCATATAAAGTTTAGTTTATTTTGAAAATTTCCATATTTATTTTGTTTTTTTTTATTACTGTATATGTTTTTTTTTTGAACTGATGCAATAAACATTATTATTATTATTTTTATAGAAATATTTAAATAAGAAAAGAACAAGCATAGAAATGTTCGTATGTTTTATAAAGTCAATGCTTTTGTCATTATAACTAAATTTGATAGAACAGAGATAATCGTTATATAATTCAGCGGAAATACTTACGGTCAATGAATCATGTGTTTTTTATTTCACACTTTTTTACTGTAATTACTTGTAATATTGTACAAGCAGTGTATTAAATATAATTTTTATTAAGTAGTTCCGTCAAATTGTATTCATTTTATGTTTATAATTAATTATTTTAAAATTATATGATTAATAACAATTATTTTTTAATTAAAAATGTACATTAATTTATAATAATATTGAAATGATCTTTTGCGTAAAAATAAATTAGTTAAACGTAAATTGTAACTCTGTTTACGTAGATTCTGTTTCAAATGGTGTTATAAAAAAATGGCATACGTAGATCTCAGGCGTAGTAACGTTTAAGGTCGCGGTTACGCATTGTACGCGCGTTACGCAATCGCGCGTAAAGTCAATTTAACGAGTGTCCGAGAAAAACGTAAATTAGAGTGTTCTCGAATTTTACAAGCGTAAACGCAGTTGACCGACTCATGGTAACAAGTTATTATGAAATAAAACTTAACTTTCCTCATAGAAAAAAAAGTGTGCATATTTCTCTCGAGTGCATGTTTTTTTTTCATCTACTTCTTCCGTTAGACAAACTAAATTAATGTCCCAGTTTTGTTTTTACTACAATTAAAAAGTCGTACATTAATTGACGGCAATTTCCTAATGAAACATGAAATAATTTATAGGTTCTATAATCTTTTCAATTTAACTTAAAACCAGAAATGTATAAGAAAAAGGCATAAAACACTTAGAGAAACATCACAAAATAATCATAAAAAAAAATATAAACAAAAAATGTTTGGGCCCTCAATTAGTAAAACTAGAATCTAGGGCCCTTGACTTTCTTAATTCTTAATTCTAAAAAATAGAACAGAAAATGATCGTTTCTTTTTTTTATATAGTTAAGTCTCTTTTTGTGTGTTTTCGGTTTAAAAATCCTCGATTTGTCCGGTATTAAACATAATTATAAAATATTTTATTGCAACAAATGTAGTTTGATTCTGTTTTTCTTTCTTTATTTTCCAAGTAATAATATAATATTGCCTTGTTATTGCTAGTTACTTCTATTTCTATTGCTAACGTCACTACTGATTAGCATGTGGGAATTATAAAAATAAAAACACAGTGTTTACGGTTTTAGAAATTTATTAATTTTACATAGCAGAAATAAAGTATAAGTGTATCAGAGAAATAAATGTCCAAGCACTAAATCCAGTGATATTAATGATATTTTTTTTAATAAAGTTTTATCCAAATAATAAGATAGAAAGGAAAAGTATTGCATATTTATATCCATATGGTGTTGAAAATGCGATAAATCAGATCGAGTTTTGAGTATTTTTTTTTAAATATTTACATTAAAATGCAGTGTAAGAAATGTAATGTAAATTAATTAGAATTATGAATTATAATTTTCTGAGTAATTCCATCAATCATAAAGTTATGTAATTGGCATGAATTGCGAAGTGTATTAATTGCCCATACCAAATAATATATGCAATACCAAACCAAACTAATAAATCAATAATTAAGAAAACCGTAATACATTAATACATATTTTTCGCAATGTTAACATACATTTTATGAATATTACATATATAGTGCATCTACATTTTTTTTTGTAACTTATTGAAATACGGTCAGCGATTCGTAAAATATTGAAGTCTATTGTATTTTTTTTTTATGAATTTTGCAATAAATATTGTTACAATTTCATCCAAATATTGAACTATCTTTTGAATTACAAAAAAAATAAACAATAGTTTTTTTTTAATAATTATAATTTTTTAAATATTTTTGTTTTCTTTCTATTATCAAAATCTTGAAGTTAGGAATCGCTGAATTTATAAATATTACTTATATATTATCCAGCTACATATTTGTGACTTATTGAAATACGGCGATTCTTAAGATATTGAAGTCAATTATGTATTGTAAAAATTCTTGTTAAAATATATTTTTTATTTGTATTTTTTTGTAAGAAATTTTGTTATTATTTCATCAAATTATTGAGATATTTTTTGAATTATAATTTTTTTTTTTAAATAACTGCAATTATTTTATTTTTTTTTCTTCAAATGTTTAAGTTAAGAATCGCCGATTTACATTATTTTATAGTTGACACATAATAACATTACATCATATATTAAATATATCGTGCAATACTTATCAGTTACATGCATTTCTAAACATTTATAATAAGTAAATATATTTTCTGTTTTAGAGGATAGTTTCCAAAAGTAGATTTTCTTCATGTTTTATAATAAAATTTGATATAAGATAACTCCCTGCAAAATTTTTACTGTTCCAGAATATATAAAATATTTAAATTTCATTAAAAATTTTAAAGGAAACTGTTCAAAACGTTGAAAATAGACATATATATATTTTTGTAAACAAATTTTTACGTAAACTCTTTGTATCTTTGTTTCGTTAGCGGGAAGACCTAGTCCCATATTTTTTGTACTTTAAAGTTGAGTATAAATAAATAGAATTTTTTTTTACACATTTATTGTCCCAATGACTGACGTAAGGAACTACGTTCGCGCAAATACGCTATTCTTCCGCTGGACCCAAAAGTTACATTTTTTTTTTATTAAAGCAAGAATTTTGATTTTGGGATCCTCTTTTTTTACAACGACTTAAATATTAGTTTAAACTGTAATACATCCATTGACATTTATTCTGATCTACGTTATAAGTATAGTAAGAAAGGTAGTACCTAAATATCTGTTTTATATTCCCAATAACTCATTCAATTTCTTAAAGGTTTGTTCTAAAGCAACGTATCCCAACTGTTTAAAATTACTTTGTATCAATCTATATTTCATTCTGAAACCATAATATGAATACAATATATTTTCGAACTGGAGAGGATAAATAATCAAAATTGAATGAGGATTATTGTAACATCATTTGGCACACTAATTTAATCTACAGATTATGGTTGGGGAACGCTGATCTGATCAAACTTCAGTGAAAACATCCAGTTTAAACTTAACATTATCGAAAAGTAATATTGCTCATAATGAAAGCAATATTATTTTTCCAATATAAAAGCTCATACTAGTCCAACTCAGACAATGCAATTGTTGGACTCTATTGTGTTTTGTACTATTCAGGTACCTTTCCATTAAAGTTAAACACGCATATAGAACATATAAATTCTTTTCAGTATATATCTTCTCTATATAGGAAAAAATATACATAGTTATCATTACCAAACAAAATCAGTGGTTCAAATTTTGTCCTCGAGATGGTAATTTTCAGTTATTGTCATCACAAGAGGAAAAAAAATGCATATTCTGTATTTTTTTTGGTAACAATATTACATTAATATATAGTACATCCAGTGATTACAGCTATAATAATCTGAGTTCTACATTTTAAATTTATAAGTAGAGCTTAAAACTTTTAAATAGATATTTTTTTACATACATTTTATTATGCGAAAAGCACCAAGATCATAATAATTCAGCTCACTTTCTATATAATATAGAGTAAATATTATTCTTATATATAAAATTTCCTGAGTCCGGTCCTGTGATTGTGTGACAAAAGAAGCGCCACATCAGATGGCAGCACTTTAAGATAGTGCGTCTTTTGAAGACAGGTTTCTTTTCTTTTAGAATAGATTCAGAACGGATCATCAGGTCTGCCATCTATAAGCATTGCTTAGAACTTCTATCACACATACTAATTGGTTGTGCTGCTGAGATATATCAAATACACTGGAAATCGTTTAACGCGATTTTAAGAAAACACATTTCTTATCATTCCTTAATGACTTAGTAGATTTTCCTGTTTCCATTAGAATCTACCAAAACGAAAAATGCATCTTCACTTTTATTTTTTGTTGTTTATTTTTCCTTAACACGATGTTTATCCCTGAATCCGGCATTTTGGTCCCTTCATTACGTGCTATACGATATCCACTGTATTTCATAATTCTGAATGCATTTCACAAAATATAGAAATTAAATTTCAGTAAAATTCCTATAAATCTACTTTTAAATATAGATTAACATTATATATTATAATAATATTGATTAAATCATTGAGATCAGTGTTGTCCAACAATTTATATCCATATTACAATTTTCCCCCGAAAACATTTGGAATATATCAATTCTGGTTTATACTGATGTTACAGATTTAAGTAGAATTTCTGTTGAAAAACGCTGATCTAGAAATTGATTTACATATTATGTATTTTTAATAACTTTAAATCTATGTAAATATATATTTATAAATACTTTTTTGATAATTATATAATAGCACGAGTTTTAGTCCATTTATTAAATGACTGAATGAAAGCTTTAAACATGAAATTAATCTTGAATATTACTAAACATTTGCAGAAAGTCTTGTGTCCCAATTGGTTATTAAAAGAAGACTTTCTACTATGGTTTAATCAATTGAGATCAAAGTAGAAGAAATATAAGAAGACAAATGTAGAAAAAAAAAATTGAAGTCCATTGAACTGAATTGTAAAATATAGATGATAATATTAGCTTTCCAGAATGCCAAAGTTCCATTTCATAATGATTAATATAATACTAAATAAAAGTAAAGAAAATGTGAAAAGAAATAAAAGCAAATTCTGAAACGTAAAATATAATATATGTTTTATCTTGGTCTCTCTCTTTAAATAATATAACATTCATGTGTATTCAAGATAAATAAATAATAAACAAAAGACATTATAAAAAAATAACTTCGCTTAAAATCGCTTAAAGGAGATTCACTTTTGATTATCATGTGTGTTTAGGTGTGTGTTTGTATATATTATGTTCTGTGTTTGTGTGTGTACGTATATCTGTGTGTAAGTGGAATAAATATGTTTTTTTTTTATTAAAAATTAAAGTAACTTCAGGCCGAGAGCAGATCACGAGTTTATTACGCAGATTTGTTAAGTAAAGGAATTTAAGTTATCTGGAAACCCTAAAATTACTATCACACATCATTGTCAAAACGTAAACAAAAAAAAAATAATAATAAAGTAAAATAAAAAAAAAAGATGAGAATGATTGAATATAAATAAATATAACGCAACTAAACTTGGCCTTTCAAGATCAGATCTGATATATAACAGAATTCTCTTTTATACAGATAATACTGCGAAAAAAAGGGAGTCCGTTGTCTCCGGTTTGTTAAATTCACTTGATAGGTTCAACAATGAGATTATAGACAGTGATCGAATGCGTACGCATTCGATCACTGTTTATACTATAATGCTAAGCACTTAAGAGACAATCCAAAGAGAGAAAAATGCGGAGAAATTAACATCAAAAAGAGTTATGTAGACACCAAATGAAGGAAATATAACATTTATTACGCTGCTGCTGTTATATGTGATCTTTATCCTGTTATCCTTTTCTTCTTCTTTCTATTTTCCCTCAATTTCGCTCCACGTTTCGAAACACTGCGACGTCCAGAGCATCGATCTGCGGGTCAAATGTTCCACAACAGGAGATGGTTGGTAGAATCTTCACGCCCGGCCACCTCTGATATATTTGAATTTCTGAAATCCTCGTAACCATCGCCACCAGAAATGACCAGAGTTCTTGCAGCAGTGGTTTGAGCGGATTTCGAGCTTCTAGCCTGATCCTCTAAAGGCATATCTAATTCAATATTTGTTAGAAACCTTACGTGACCGGTGTGACCGTGAGGAAGACCCACTACATGAGGCATACTGGTTAACTTAACCGTCGTTGTGGTTATGTGTGGTAACGGCATCGTGAGCAAGACACCAGCTGAAGTACCAATCCATAACAAATCTTTGCACGCTAGCAAAGCTGTGACTCGAAGACAGGCCGCTTTATGTTGGCGAATGATATCATCACAACCTGGAAATAAATCAGTAGATAAGAAATACAACATGGTTTGTGATTATATGTGTTTACTTGTGAGCATCTTGGTGACCGCTGAAGCCACGTTTACTTCACTTAGGAATTCCATTGATGTAGCGTGATAGCATTTGATAATTGCTGAGTTTTGTAGTGATAACCATACACCATTCCCAGAGAGTACCATGCAGGTGATTGGTTTGTTAGCGTCATTGTTAACTGTGAACTGGCGATTTGGCTCCAGAGTTGTATCACAAACAACTTTAATAACATTTCCACACGCACACCATAGTTTTCCATTGTTGGGTAACAACCTGGTCACAGGCATAGTGGATGAACCAACAGTCACCATAACGGGCATATTCACATTCCAGCTACCATCTAAAGCGAATTACATTAATATAAATATAAATTATTATATAAATAATCTTACTACAATCCCTTTCATAAATTATAACATCACCGTTGGCCAGAGACACGTACACCTTATCATCTAGGTATCTGAAATGTTAGATAATTAATGGAATTCTTGCGCCGTATATTAAAGATTACTTACATCATGCAGAGAATCGATGACTGATGCTGTATCCTGATTTTATTCTTCTTAATTCGTATGTTATCGCTGGAGTTGTACACGTGTATGCATCCATCCTCTGTTCCGAGCCACATGGTGCACTGCAGACAATCGCCCTCATCAGAATCCATGCAATAATCTATGACCGTATCAGAAGTATCAACAACGTTGATGGTCCTCGCTGGTTTCGGTGGCTTTGGAGCTGGCTTTGGTGCTGGAGCTATTGCAGTTGTGATCTTCGACATATGCTCATGCTTCTCTTCGTCTTCAGATGAACCACTGTCGAATGGCAATTTTGGTTCATCCTTCTGCTTGGCATCCTTGTGTTCCTTAACCACCTCGGAGCAGCTATAGACAGAATAAATTAAAAACATGGTGTTAATCATTTTTGATTAGTTGTAGTACCCCTCAGAGTTTAGTCCGGCTACACTGCATATACACAAAATCCTTGCGTTACAGACACCGTTGCACGAAGTCACAGTAGGTTCTGGTTGTAAGCTTAGCACGCACACCTGGCCAACGTAACCATCACTATTGCAAACCCACACGTCCTTTATGTCATCATCCAACGTTGGCGCAGCGCATGTGAATTGAAGTCCCGCTCTTGTCTTCCTTATGGGCACCGTAGCCACAAGCTCAGGTGTAGGCCTCCTGTCACCGGATATTGCTAGAAGACAACTTATACTTTAAGCATATACCATATCATAAAGACGCCTTCACAATAATTGTAAAAAGCGCAACATATATATTTATATATACTTTTATTGTCTTTACCTAGCTTATGTTTCGCTTCACTTATAGTTTCTTCCCACGAAGCTCGCTTATCAGGACTATTAAATACTATGGATACATTTTCCGATCCGTTACTATAAATTTAAAAAAACATGTATATAGATAAAATTACAGATACTCCATTTATATAACATCAACTGAGTTCATCATGACTCGACAAGTTATTACAAGAAATCTAAAGTAACATACTTTTAGTTCTAACATCAATAATTAATGTTCTACAATCGTACTTTCAACTATAAGTATGATAAATATAGTCGTATTACAGAATGATGCGCATGGAACTATTAGTAATTATTGTAAATGAAAAATATATGTACTTGATAATGAATAATCAAATCTAAATGATTAGTGAGCTAAATCGGGATATAAAGCATAAAATCAAAAGCGAATTGAAAGTGTAAAACTCACCTACCTAGGTTTTACATTTTCGCAGCAGTTGGGAGTTAAGTAGTCTGAGGGTACGGTAGTATGATTGGTATAGTTTCAATTTATAAAGTGATAGTTCATTCCACTATTATGGATGAAGTTTTAAATGTTTGAGTTTAAAGATGATGGATACCGAAATAATTTAGATTTATAATATAACAAAAAAACATGTATAACAGGGGTGGACATACTGCGGATCGCATACGGCAAATGGTGCGTGTCTTATGTAATTAAAATGTATGTATGAAGATTCACTATGAGCATGAAATATGATTTCCAAAGGTAGTGTAGCTGGTCGCCCCTGATTTAGCTAAAGGAAATATAAATCCTCCAATTACAAGTAAGATAAAGTATTCATTACTAACACATTATGCATTAAATCTTGTTTTTGTTTTGTTAATTGAAATTAATTTTGAAATATATTTAAATTGTATAAATCATGGTTGGAAACTGAAAAATCATGTTTATAATATCTTGGGGATAGGTATTGAAGTAAAGGGATAAAACCTATAACTTGTGTTAACAAAAGTAGTTATTTTAAGTGTAAGAAATATTATAATATAAATAGACTTACGCAGCGTTTATTGTTAAATCCAGGCAAGAAAGTTGGGTGTCGTTAGTTTGTTGCTTAAGTAATTGTTCATTGAGATTAGCAAGCATGTCACGGATAACCTCATCCATGGGTCCATGGCTGCAGTGAAGCGTCCAGGTGAGCTCATTTATTTGATTCATGACGGCAATGTCTTCGGTGAGGTTCTCCATTTCAACCATGACTTGCTTGAGATTCTCGTCCCTAGTTCGTAGAATTTCAAGATCATCTAAAGAGATCTTCATAATTAGTTTATATTTGTTCGTCGCATCCAACGCAGACATGGTGGAAGTCTGACCGGTGGCAGGTCGCCTAATCGTTCCGCTGCGTCTTTTAATGCTGGTGATTAAAAGTAAGTCCGAAAATAGGAACAAAGCTCTTTCTTTACGGGTAGTACCACCAACGGCCATAGAGACCAGATCGTGTCTCAGGTAAGATCTGTCGGGGGAAGCCAGATCTATGAGACCTTCAATGTGTCCTTCGATATCCCTCAGCTGCTCCAGCTCAAGTGCCTCGCGTTCGGTGCAGTTGATCTTCACCACCTGGTCGTGGAGCTCCTTCTGGGCGGCGGTGAGAAGTCCATGATCGGGATGGGTTTCATCTGTGTTCTTGATAAGCCTCTGGATGAGTAGCTCGTACTTGGGGAACTTCTGGATAGGTTTGATGAGCAGAGAGTCCAACGGCAGTTTTCCTTTGTTCTCACGGGCTTTCGCCTAATAAATCACAATCGGATTATACCATTTCCAAAGCATCACCCAAACTATACTCACCACTAAGAACCTAGCAAACGCCGGTTTCGATTGCTGCGCGTTCTTCCATACGTCACGTGCTCTTTTCCAATTATTTACGTAACTCGTGTATGTCTCAATTAGCGAAGGGTTGGAGAACTAAAAATAGATAGTAAGTAAATCGAAATGATGTTTCACTTAGGTATCTTTAGTAATGGACAACAGTTTGTTTAACCTATATTCTCGCTGTTTATAGCTTTGGCATGCGTCGGTATTCATAACTCAATACACATTTTTTTAAAAAGTAGTTATTATTTATTAATAATACGCATTTTCGAACAGGCTACTATGCATACAATTATACTCGTATATTATACGCAAAATTTGTGCTAATTTTGTCCCAGGAATATTAGCATACCTTTTTTTAATAATCAACAAACTCACGTACAGTTGTGTCAATGATTAGACACCTTTGTTGTTTGATAAATTTAAAAGTTTAATAGAAAAAAATGTAATGCAAATATCAATTTAATTATTAACATATATGGGTATATTATATTCAAGTTTTTAAGGTAAAGAAAGAAGTGTAGTCATCAATAGTAAAAAAAAACTGTTGGTGCAAAATTTATTGTATTGACTTTTAAAATAATTGCCCTTCGTTATTTCCGTTGTGTAAGTTGACAGTAGTTTAATTTCTGGGCAATTATTGTAGTGCAACAGGTGCCTTTGTTGTAAGCTATTTGGGGCGGCTGGTATAAAAATGTAATGAATGGGAACTGTTGCTTGTCGCTTCCATTCATACTTGGCTCGATGCTGGATAGAAGACTCCGAAATCCGTGGGTGTCGAAATAAAATTGATAATGTTGATGTTGTGGAACGCGAAACTGTTTTGATCTGCTCGTCTAAATTTAGCCCCTCGAGATCTTAATTGGTAGTAATTGATAGTAATCGATTTTGATAGTCGCTCGCTCGTGTTTCTCGCGCGCTTCGACATACGCACATACTTTAATTAATAAATTATACCATAAGGACCAATTAATATGTATTACGCAAGAAGCGATTATAAGAACAACAAAAAAATTTGAAGTTACGGAAAGGCTAAGATGATAAGAAAAGGAGGACTAGAAAATAAGAAGGAGAAAAGAGGCGAGCATAAAACGTGAAGAAAATGCGCGCACTTGCAAAATAGAACGCATTTCATCATCGGCAGTTTCCACCTCATCATGCCCGAATGCAGTGCTGAGTGCGACGCAATAATTATCCCCGAGGAATTTGGAATGAAATTGCACCTTTCAATGAGTATCTGATTAATTACTTAGAGAAACTAGTCGCAAACTTTCTAATACATGCACCAGGCACAAGAACGTTTGCAGAATACTTAAGCAGGTGGCGTTTAATTAATTAACCTTTTGTTTTGATTGATACCTTTTTTTGTTGTAAGATCTAATAAATTAAATGTATTTATTGGCTTTACAGAACCTACGATTTTGGTATATTTCATATTATTTATTATAAATTTTGTATAAAGTATATAAATATTACGGATATCCTTAATATTAGGTAATACGTAAGAAGGAAAGAATGTCTACTCAAAGCCTAAAAAAACTATAATGTTCTTGTATGGAGAAATCGTTTAAGCTTTTTCATTAAGCGCTTGTCGTATAGAAACTCATCCTAAGCACTAAAGGAAGTCTTACTATATATATTGTTTTGAAATCCGTATTTTATTCATTGATAAAAATGGGGTCTATATAGAAATCCCGACACTATCAAATTCCTGACAATATCAAAATCTCGTCAACTATAATTCCAATAATTATAATTAGGATTTTGTTACTGTCGGTATTTCAAATGTCGGGATTTCGGTTGTTGGGATTTTGATTTCCACCTTTAAAAATGATACTGCATAATATAATATATGAAGAGATATAGGCTGTACATTATATTTAATTATTCAACAGAAATTTTCGTTAATAATCAGCAATAACCAGAAAACAATGTAAATTATAGATAAATTTTATACATTAATTACTGATAACCTTGTATGAAAAAGCATTCCTTCAACATGGTTTCGATTTAACACGTTTCGAAAATAAAAACACGCCATTATCGCAATAGATCTCACTAAGTACACTAAATTTTAATTGAACAAAATAAAAATAGAAAATAAAATAGTACAAAAAATATTGTTTTATGTTTTTGTTTCTACATTCAGTGTTCTGTTTCAAATAATGCGGATTATTATCGGAATCCATAGCCCGCACTATGCGAGGTACATAAAAATCAAGATGTTGCAGAAGAAAACTCAGAATATGACATTTTGTCATAGAGAAAATGTCCTTGTTCAAGTTGTTTAGAAGTGACAAAGTTATAAAATAAAATTTATAGTTTTGATAAAAAAATCATTGTTTTCTTTTTATAACACGATTTCTTCTTGTTGAGAACCAAATTACCGTAATAAATGGACGGTTTTTGGATGGATGGTTTTTAACCATGAAAAATAAACCAGCTAAAAATAGTATTTCATTATATCATTTGTCAAAAACAAAAGTTCCCCCAATTTCAATACAAAATATTGAAAATTGATTTTACTCTTATGTTTGATTTTTTTCAAATTTCCTGCTTTTTACGTCATAGAAAAATGTTTAATACGGTAGTAATGACGTTCGAATACTGAAGTTGTAATCAAAAATGTGTATTCGGATTATTATGGCTCTTAAATTATTTTCTTAATTGCCAACATTCTTCGCCTAGTTTATACGCTTCAGCAGCGAAAAGTTCGCAGCAATCTTATACAAATTGGAATAACAACAATAAATCATCGAAGTAGAGAAAATAAAACATCTGTGATTGATTTTTAAAAACCAATTTTCTATGATTTATGATCATTATAATACTGCACGAGGGTAACACAAATTGTATCTAAAAATAGATATTATGGCAACAGTCAATGCAGATTAAACATTGCTCCGGATTAGTCCAAATTTACTAAAGTCCGGTTTGAAATTTTCAAAACAAACTATTAATATACTTTTGTGCTGTTCCTTCGTATTCCTCGAACTGAACTGAGGTATTGTTTTATTAATTATTAAGTTAATTATCTACTGCAGCGTTCTCAAACTCAACAGAATAAGGATTAGGCGCGGTCCGTGCATGGATGCGGCGCAACTGCAGCATCCATGGTCACATACGCCATATACACCACATGCATTTGTTATAAATACACATGCAATTTGAGTTTGAGACCACTAATTTAAAGGATGGCCGAAATGTGTATTCCGTACAATCAATATAAAAGATAATAGCTTGTAGTTACCATTTCCAACAAAACATCGCCGACTTTCTGTTTAGCATCCCAATGGTCCAGTCGCATTCTGAGTTGTTCCAAGAAAGTATCATGGTACATGAACAGCGATGGTATCTACAAAAAACGAATGGGTTTAATTAATAGATCAAAATAGGTAAATAATACCATCAACGTGCATCGGTAATTACAATGACAAATTATGTAACGCTAGTGCGGTGTGCATTCATGCAGGTGTCGATGAATTAACTAATAACATAGATTAATTAATGGAACCTCTATGCTTGGTTAAATATGTATAGTCTACGATTGTGTTAGGTTATAGTAACATAGCTGTATATAGGAATACATTATTGCAGGTAATGATCGCACTTTCCCTGTCAGTTTATCACATCTGATTATGTATTTATCGATTAACGTGCAGAATGTTAACAATTCGTCCTCTTACCTGGTAGAATACTTCGTCGACGAGTGCAACATCAAGCAAGCCGGCATTATCAGGATTTTTCAACGGCTCCAGATATTTCTGAAAAATACAAAAAAAAAACAATTTAATTAAAATTTAATTATTTACTTACAAAAATAAATACAAATTGATTTTCTATTATATACAGTAAGTATATACATATATAAAAGGAATAATATTAATGATAATATATGATCAAAAAAACTATAATGAAAGTTATATTTAAAATTATATTTCAAGGGAATAATTAGTAAAGTTTTAATTAACTCCTCAATAAAATTGGAACTAATTTCAAAGCGTGCTCGTGTAGTTACACTTAAACTAAAAACAAAATTGAGTTAGACGTGAGTTTATTTCCAGTATTTTGAACATGTGATCATAATTAAAGTACATAGAGTTTGTAATTTAACAAGCTAAAAAGTATAACACAAATCATGATTCAAATAATCATATTGGTGCTGTTGAGTTATACTAAAAATTTAAAGAAGTTAATACTGAAAAAAAAAATTGTACGATTTTTTTAGCAAATTGTACACCAAAGTACCTTTAATGTTAATATGTACATTACGTACAAACTGCCATATAAGATGTTCAATCTAACGTATACTTTCATAGATATCCTCTGCTTTTAGTTCCGTACATATTTTGATTATATATCAGACTTTGATATTATCTACTTGTTTCTTACATCGCTTTTATTGCCGTATATTTTTGAGAATTACGTTCATTTAAACGTACATATTGCGCGACATACTTATATCTAATGCCTGTATCTGCGTACATATTTTAATTGTATGTCAGTCATGGTTTTATACATCGGTTTTTTTTTTCGTTAGGAAGCTTATGGACTTGTACTTGATATTTGTATTTATAAGATTCTCATGTTGTCTATTAAGCTTCTATACGGAAACAGGTTTATTTTGAAATAATATTTATATTGCAACAATAGAACAGTATGAAATTAAAAGTTATAATTAATTTTCATTCAGAAACTTTGTCTTCAAATAAAGGCCCATGGGCTTCTATTTGGAAAACAAAATCCAGATGGTCCTATATTTGGATGGGCCTCTTAGTGGAAAACCCAGAACTTCTTTTTTTTTTATCTAAAACTAGTTTTAATCCGAATACTACAGTCTGCTATTGAGAATTACATCTTTGTACGTTCATACGGATATTTGTACGTTGGTACTAACTATATAACTAAGTAAACGGTGACTGAATTGTCTTATAATCAATATCAGACAGATGATGTAAATCAAGTTGATAACATATGATTTCTGGAGAGTATCAAAGAAAATTTTATGACATTCTGCAAATTGGTACAGGTGCAATTTGTTTACAGATTAAAGTGGTTTTAGTGACCCCAGTTTTGTAATTTTCAATGTAATTTCGTGTGTTGATTAAACATTGTTTTTTTATGGGAAAAATACTGTTGAAGCTAAACAGTGGCTTGATAAGTGTTATGGAGACTTTGCTCCAGGGAAATCAACTATTATTGACTGGTATACTGAATTTAAACGCGGTCGTACAAACACCGATGATGCTGAATGCTCTGGTCAACCAAAATCGGCAGTTGTTCCGGAAAACATAAAAAAAATCCATAAAATAGTTTCGAAACACCGTTAAAGTGAAGTTGGGTGAGATAGATTATACCTTAAAATTATTCTACAAAACAGGCATCGAATAGTTAAAGGAGCGTTGGAATCAATGTATCACTCTTGACAAATTTGAATTTAAAGAAAAAAATAGTTTTTCTTAGTTAGAACGGAGACTTATTGAGTGATGTGTTAAATAAATTTAAAGTTATGTAATGTCTTGCAATACCGGAAACTTTTAATTAAATTAATTTTAAAAACTCATTTTATGAGTAAAATGTATTTTGTAGTATTGAGCAGCATGAAATTATTCAGAAATATAAAATACCAAGATGGAATACGAATATCTTGAAACGGATAACTCTTGGAACAATTGAATACTAATTTGAAAACTTCTTGCAGTAAAATATTGATTTCCATAACATATAAAAGTACAATATTTTAATGTCAATATCAAATTATATTCAAAGTATCCTTTTACGAAACTTCTTATTATATAATTTCAAAAAGATCAAGATATATTTTCCAAAACAATACATGGTACAAATACAGCAATAAAGCGGATAATCGGTTCAGAACTGTTCCGGTTCCGCACTGTTTGAAAGCATATTAATCGAGGAATTTAAAACTGCATAAAAAGAGACTTGACTGTATAGAAGAAAAGAAAACTATAATTTATATACAAAAAATAATTTTATGTACTCATTTTTTTCGAATTAAATTTGTTTAAAAATGTTCATTACTATACTTAATCTGCACTTATTGATTGAAAGTAGTTATAGATAATAAAAAGTTAACAACTAATCACCATAGTTTTTATTTTAAACAATTCTCAACGAAAAAAAACTACTGAAAATATGTTGGATAAAGTATATTAATAATACAATAAAATGATTAATATATTTTAATTAATTATTACATTGAAATAAATATATGACAGAATACGAAGTTGTAGACGTAATTTAATAAGAAAATTTAATTATAATATTAGAAACAATGAAATAAAGTAATTTAACATGAAAAAAAAAATAAGTATGAAATATATTCGAAGCATTCAGACAACAAAATAGCTGATTGTCGGCCCATTGAAACCCTTAAAGAGTTATGTACAAATTAATTAATTCATCTTGTAAACCAGTAATGTGCAGCTTCTAAAGAAGATCCCTTTGAAGCTCAAGCGTCGGAAACCCTACAAATATTCCTGTAAAGCATACTCGTCGGAATATCATGTATACATCTAAACTACATTAAGCTTACTTTACTTGTCTTGTATATTAGTGGTTTTTATTTAATAATATCAATAGATTTCATTGAAAAATGCAAAAAATAATTATATTTTTCTCTTGAAATTATTTTTTCTTCTGTCTTTACAAATATTAATACAAATTCGTTCCTGAAGACAGAGTGCTAAACGAAACAGCGTTATAGGAGGTCATTTTAACACATAGCAAATAGGGAAACGGGAAGACGCGACCAAAAATAAACAAATTTTACTTATAAAGGTATAATATAATAAAATTCGTGAAAAGAAAAGTGTCAAAACGTACCTAACAAAATTAAAAAGTAAACTAATCCAACTTTATACAGAAACAGACTTCATCGAGTTTTGTTTGTCAAAGTTATTTATAAATTTTTATTTTGAAAGTATATATAATTAAATAATCAATTATAAAGAATTATATTTTATATTTTTTTCAGTATTGATATCTTTTAAATGCAGTTTTGAACTATAATTTAACATTATTATTATTTTGCACGTTTTGAAAATTTATTCCATCCAAGGTTTATTTTTTGCTTATATAAATAAGTTTTAATACGCAATCATTTTAAGAAATTATTTTTAAACTACTACCATATATGTATAAGAAATTACATACATCGCAATAAAGATTTTACGATGTAAACACATTGTTTAAAAACGCATTATTGAATTCGCATATGAAGTTTATCGTTTTTAAATGAAATATCTACGAAGAATTTTATAAGAATATTTATGGTGTACATAATAAGAAAATTTTATGAGACATTGAGCAAAAACAATATAGAATTTCTTTAAAACAAATTATTAATTACAGCAATTAATCAAATCAGTCCGGTTTAAAAATTACAAAACAAATTAAATTTTAATTGACAAAATGTATTCTAAAAAAATATTACTGAAATTTATTTATGTATATTTGTCAATGTCTCTTTTTTGTTCAGTTTATTTTTATGCGTATTCATAGTCCTATTTGAAAATTTAAAAAAATAATTCAGTAAAATTAAAAAAAAAATACACAAAATTATTTTTCAAATAGTGCTGCGCACTAAGCAAACTAAATTTTAATTGATCGAAATAAAAATTAATTCTTAAAAAAAAATGCGGTTTTTAAATTCGATTATTCTTATAATCTAATAATCTCTTAAAACTGAGATTGAGAATTAATCCAACTAATATTTCATAAAACTAAAATCAATCAAATCTAGTTGTTTGTGAATTTAAATTATTTATCTCTGAATATATAATATATTTACATAATTGTCGCATTGATAATTATTAATTAGTTACTGATTTCTATCAAATTAAATGATAATTAATATTGCTGGGGAAAACATATTTCGCATTAAATCCAAATTAATTGACTAATAATTTTCAATAAATAATTATAATAATAAATTCTCATGTGTAAATTTGGTAAAGTTTAGATTCATCTACTTATATTTATGGTACAATTTGTTTTTCATATTGCCTAAAAAAGAGAAATATATTTCTTTTTGTATTTTTACAAATACTTTAGAACTTCGGTTTCCAAACATAAATAAAAAACTAAAACCAAAACTTCGGTTTTCTAACATAACGTTGACTAATGTTGTAAGATGTATAGATAGAAAATGTAAATTACAGCAATACCTTGCATATTGCGGTTTCGAATTCACTATAGTCCAATTTGAAAATATCGAAATAACAAAATTTTAACAACAAAAATTAAAAAAATTCTTCAATTAGTTCAAATAAAACCTATAAAATTGTGATATAAAATAATATGTAAATATAATATATATTTTTTAACAACTAACCTCAGCATAATGAAATTGCAGAAAAAAAGGAGATATTTTTTAAACCAGTTAATAAGTAGGGAAAATATATTACAGGGATGATCGTTTTATCGCAGATGTGTTCGTTCTTTCGAAACTATTTAAATTTGGTTCAGCTGCTTGAAACTAATAACATCAATCATAAAGTAAACTTAGGAAATACTTTATTCGTATATGCAAATCCCTCATTTTACGTTTATTATGGAATCAATATGCTTTTAATATTAATTCCATAATTGGGAACTTCGTCAAGAAGAAAAGAGAATTTACAATAAGCTTATTGTGTGCTTCTTTTTTTTTAAAGAGTTCATAAAAAGACAAGACGTGGCTTATTTACTTATTTAAATATCAATTTTACATGTATATAAATTGTGCTAACCGCATATTGAC